AAAATTGTTACTCTTAAATTATTTGTATTTAAAATCATTTTATTATTTTATAAATAATCATTGAATTCTGATAGGAACATTTATCAAAATAACTTAGATCCAATTATAAAAGGATAATCCAAAATAAAATAATTATATAAAATAATAATTAAAATAAAAAATTTAATTGTTACTCTTTATTAAGTTATTTTATTTTAAATTATTTTATAAATATTAATTGGATTTTTATAGGAAGATATATTTATCCTAATCAAATCTCATCTAAAAAATCTAAAAAAAAAAAAAAAAAAAAAAAATAAGTTTAGTTTAGTTTAACTTTATTGTCTGTCCAGATTTCCTAATCAAATCAAATAAGAATCATGTAAAAATAAAAAGTAAAATAAAATAACTATTTGCTCCTGAAAAATAATTTTATAATTATGATTAATTTTTTACTCTTGTTTGAATTTTAGTTGGAAATTACATAATCTTTACCAGATGCCTCGTAGGCAGCTGAAATTCACAGCAGAACTACAGGAGTTTTACAATCCTGTATCTCTACATTCTGATCGATGTACAGTACTGCAGGGATATTTGATCCTTTAGGAAACATCCCCCTTTAGAGAATCATGTTCTAAAATATTTTAGTCTAAGTTATGCTACATAGGCTATTTTAATCCTATACAGAAGTTCCCATTAGAAATCGTTCTAATTGTGATATAAATTCCAATAATATTGGACTAGGGAAATAAAGCAGAACCAAGGAGTACAAGGCGGAGGCGATGAATAATGTACATATATTGAAATGAACAAATGAGAAACTGACCAATGAAAGAGGGCTGGAAGAGGGTCTCGGGGCAGCGGAACCTCTCGTTACCGATGGTGATGACCTGACCGTCGGGCAACTCGTAGGACTTTTCCAGTGATGAGGAGGAGGCGGCGGTGGCCATTTCATTCTCGAAATCAAGAGCCACGTAGCACAACTTCTCCTTAATGTCACGAACAATCTCCCTCTCGGCTGTAATAGCGAGTTAGAAAGGTATTAAATGCTTTTTAATTATTAAAAAACAGCAGCTGGTTCAATTCACTTTTAACCATTGACGCAGATACTATCGTTGACCAAAAGGTGGTGCTGTTTAGCTAATGGACATTTCATTACAGCGTAAACGGTGAAACTAGAACGCCTACTAGACTATCCACCTTTTTCTTCAACGCGCAAGTAAGCCTATGGGCAAGACTTCCGGTTCATTAGGCGCTATAGGAAAATAACGAGATTAATAACAACGTGCAGTAAACGGTAAAACTGTTTGCATTATAAACCAGCGTGTTCATAATTAAGAATACATTCAGATAATATGGTAAGACACACCAATTTTCGATATCAAGCAGCAAAACGAACTGTTTTGTACAGCTAAAAATAGCTGGACGTCAATGAGACCGGAAGTCAGACCCATACAATTTACAAATGGCCGCGCCCATTTTTACAGAAAGAAAAAAGTGGATAAAATAGTCCAAATTAGTAAATATCTTACATTTAACACAAAGTTTACTATCTATTACGTGGGTGCATTAAAATATAACCAGTATACTTTATGTGAAAACTGCAGAGAGTGAGGTAAATTACCAGTTGTGACGAACGAGTAGCCTCTCTCAGTCAGGATTTTCATCAGGTAGTCAGTCAGGTCTCTGCCGGCCAAATCCAGTCTCATGATGGCATGTGGAAGGGCGTAACCCTCATATACAGGCACATTGTGGGTCACACCATCACCAGCATCCAGCACAATACCTGGAGCATATCATAAAAGCATGAAAAAAAAACAATAGACGCAGTTTAGAGCAACTACTGTATAGTCAACGTAGACGCTAACCTGTGGTACGGCCAGAGGCGTACAGTGAGAGGACAGCCTGGATGGCAACGTACATAGCCGGAACATTGAAGGTCTCAAACATGATCTGAAATACAGATAGAAACCAACATATTTTAATATTATGGAAATAATAACATTAATGCCATGATTCTGAAGTCTTCAAAAGGACTTGCCTGGGTCATCTTTTCCCTGTTGGCCTTGGGATTCAGAGGAGCCTCAGTCAGGAGGACGGGATGTTCCTCAGGAGCCACACGGAGCTCATTGTAGAAGGTGTGATGCCAGATCTGAGAAAATAGTATTGCATTTTCATTATATATGGAGAAACACTGGTCACATTTACCGTTGTTTGGCAAATTTTCATGAGCAAAATGTATGGGATTGCATTTATGTCAAAAGGTCAACGGTCCATGTCTACGCTCATTGCGTACTTGGTCAGATAAATTTATATACGTTGATGTATATGTTTTTTTTATGTTGTCTTGTTCTGTCATCCTCCATGTCATCTTGTTCTGTTGTGTAAAGGCTGTTTCCAAAAATGATAACTTTCTGTTTGTTCCAAAAAATTGTTGACTCGAATGTCTACTGTTTCTGTTTGTTTTGGTTCAAATTTGTGTTGTCCGCCATGTTAATGCTCTCAGTGAATGTTCTGCAACACATTTAACAGATATCCAGGTAAACAAAAAGAACATTTACATTTTTTAAAGAATTTGTTTTCTCACCATCTTTCTCAGGCCCTGTTTACAGTAGTGCGTTTTCGTTTTGAAACAGCGTTTTAAAAATGAAAACGATCCTCGTCTACACTGGCGTTTTCACTGCGTTTCAGAAACGATCTCCACCCACACTACACAACCCAAAACGCATGTCACATGACCATTCATGCAGGTACAACCATAGATATGTATAGGTAGATTCCCTATTATTTAGATGGCGTCTATGTGCTTGGAGCGGTCAAATGGGGAATCTACCTATACATACAGTGCCTTGCGAAAGTATTCATACCCCTTCATTTTTTCACGTTTTGTTATGTTGCTGTCTTATGTTAAGCTGCTTTAAATTAGCTTTTTTCCACAACAATCTACACTCCATACACCATAATTGTCAAGCAAAAAAAAACAGGTTTTTAACATCTTTGCAAATGTATTAAAAATAAAAAAATAAAATGATTCCATTTCATAAGTATTCATACTGGGCCAGTTCATGGTGACCAAGAACCTGATGGTCACTCTAGTTGAGCTCCATGATCATATGTGGAGACAGGAGAAATCTACAAAAGGACAAACATCGCTGCAACACTCCACCAATCCAGTCTTTATAGCGGTGTGGCCAAACTCAACCCTCTCTTCAGTTAAGACACATGAAAACACACTTGGAATTTAGAAAAAAAAAAAAGACCCTCAGACTCTGAAAAACAAGATTCTCTGGTCTGATGAACCTCAATTCTAAGCTTAAAGAAGTTTATCATAAGGCAGCAACATAACAAAATGTAAAAAAAAATGAAGGGGTATGAATACTTTCGCAAGGCACTGTATCTATGGAGAGCGAATGTAGGCAGCCACGCCATCGTTTTCAAAAGTTTCCGTTTTTGTCCGTTTACACTGAAATGCAACCCCAGAGTTTTCAAACTAAAACAGGGTCTGCAGTGTTTTCAAAAGTCTCCGTTTTCGAGAGTCCAAAACGCCAGAGTAGTGGAAATGATAGGCATAACCATAGCAAAAGTTATGCTTTTTTAAACTATTTTTAAAATGCGCTAGTGTAAATGTAGCCTCAAACTCTGAATATTTTGTCAAAAAATGAAGATTAAACCTGAGGATTATAGATTCATTAAAGTTTATAGATCAGAAACAAATTCATCTAAAGTTTTAAGAAAAAAAATCTACACATTCATTTGTTTACCTGGATATCTGTTTTTTTTCAAACTAAAACAGGGTCTGCAGTGTTTTCAAAAGTCTCCGTTTTCGAGAGTCCAAAACGCCAGAGTAGTGGAAATGATAGGCATAACCATAGCAAAAGTTATGCTTTTTTAAACTATTTTTAAAATGCGCTAGTGTAAATGTAGCCTCAAACTCTGAATATTTTGTCAAAAAATGAAGATTAAACCTGAGGATTATAGATTCATTAAAGTTTATAGATCAGAAACAAATTCATCTAAAGTTTTAAGAAAACTCATTATTGAAAAAAATCTACACATTCATTTGTTTACCTGGATATCTGTTTTTTATTTTTCAATAATGAGTTTTCCTTTTTTTTAAATGTTGAATATTGTACAATATAGATTCATTCAAGTTTATAGAACAAAAACATAAATGCATCTAAACATTTTAGAAAACTCATTATTGAAAAAATCTAGACATTCTATTTGTTTATCTGGGTGTTGCAGAACAATTATCGAGTGATAACTTGAAAAGCAAAAAAATGAGCTTTTTGGCACAATTGTAACACCATAGAAATCCATTCATTTCAACTGGAATCAAAGTGATTGGGAATTTTGTGTGAAGGTGAAAGGTTTCAACAGATTTTGCAATGGGTTCAAGTTGTTCATGTGAATTTGCCTCGTTGACCAACGGAAAGTTATTTTGTTTGACTTCAATGTGAAATGTGCTCCATAGATCCCTACACTACTGACAATAGACAATGGAATTTCGTGACCGCAATTTGCTCCTTAAAAGTAAATAATTGTATGTTCTACCTTCTCCATATCATCCCAGTTGGTGATGATGCCATGCTCAATGGGGTATTTGAGGGTGAGGATGCCTCTCTTGCTCTGGGCCTCGTCTCCTACATAGCTGTCTTTCTGACCCATACCGACCATGACACCCTAAAGAACCATAATGCAAGCTTTCAGTCACAATCCACACATTCAGGGTGACTTTCGATTCTACATTTGATTTACATACTGTAGCACTCACACACCTTTTCAAGAATTAATGTTTGCTTATTAACATTTGAAGCAAGGGTTGATGCTAGCAGAGTATAGCCTTTACGGGTCAAAGGTCAAAGTGTAAGTACTGTGACTTAAGAGGTGCTTTACTGACTGGATCAAAATAAGACTAAGCCCCAGATGATGTGAATAGACGTTGTCATCTCACCTGATGGCGGGGTCGGCCCACAATGGAGGGAAACACAGCCCTGGGAGCGTCATCCCCGGCAAAGCCGGCCTTCACCAGACCTGAGCCATTGTCGCACACTAGAGCGGTGGTCTCTTCCTCGTCACACATGTTTGCTTAGACAGCTGGTGTTTGAACACAAATGGCACGGGCGCAAACAAATGACATGTCCATTTAAAAGCAGAAGGATTTTCTCATGCCTATTAAATACTTGTCTTTGCTTGTTGAATTCATGTAGCACTTGAAGCTAAATGTAAATTATTCATCTTCTGTGCTTAAAAAGAGCTTTTCTGACATCTTCAATTATGCAGACCTACCCTCCCTATGGCAGACTCGCAGTGTGCTATAAATAATACATATTTTATTATTTATTTGATATCTTGAGTTGAGCATAAAAAGCTTTAGTTTGTATTATCTTTATAGCGCTACTTCTGTATTTGAAGTAGTTTTAAAATGCAAAATATAAGCATTTCATTGGTCCACTGTGTACTGTATGTAACAAATAATTCATGAAGTAATTCATTATTAAAAGGATAGTTCACTCAAAAATGGAAATTCGGACAACACCCTCGTTGTTACAAACCTGTATGACTTTATTTCTTCTGTGGACTATGATTTGAAGCGATTCAGTGAAAGTCACTGACTTTCATTATACACTACTGTTCAAAAGTTTGGGGTCACTAAGATTTTTGAAAGAAGTCTCTTATACTCAACCAGGCATTTATTTGATCAAAAATACATTAAAACATTAATATTGTAAAATATTATTACAAATTAAAAGAACTGTTTTCTATTTTAATATATTCTATATTTAATATATTCCTGTGATGGCAAAGCTGAATTTTCAGCAGTCTTTGGTGTCACATGATCCTTCAGAAATAATTCTAGTATGCTGATTTGTTGATCAAGGGTCAAAGTTTGAACGGTAGTGTATGGATAAAAAGTTCTTCAAAATATCTCAATTTTTGATCCACCAAGTCATACAGGTTTGGATCAGAATTTTCAAATTTGAATGAACTAACATTCCAAATATCCAAAAGCCAGGCTTTGCTACACTATCTGCTGTAGTCCAACAACCTGTTTAAAATAAACCATCCATTGAAGTAGACTCACCCAGGAGAGCTTGCACAAGAGGCCTGGAAAACTTGCTCCCTCAAGAGCGGTAGAAAATAAGAGAGTGAGCGGCCAGTTCACCTGTCCTGTATTTATATAGGAGCCTTGTCACAAGGGCTTCAGAACCTCAAGCCTTTTTAGGACACATTATAACCCTGCATCACTCAAAGGTGGGCCGTCCCATGTGAAGATGGAGTATTGGAACGGGTCTCACAATGCAGCCTGTCCACTGACAGTTGCATTTAATATTAGAAGATAATTTATGGCTCTCGAGCACAGTGTGGACTATTGTTGGAAAGAGAGGTGGCCAATTCACTGGGAGAGAATGGCATCCCTGGGGCCGTTATAAATAAGACGCCGAGCATTGGTCATAATGGACGAATGACCATTTGTCTGTTGTCTGTTATCTGTCAGTTGTGAGGAACTTCTGGCTCCTTCAAAGGAAATGCACATTGCCGCCCCATATGGGTGTGGACTTTACAACCAAAGCCTACCAAAAGAGGAATGATTTTCAGCGTCTCTTCCCAAAAGAAAATCACGGCCTCTAGGAAATTGACAATGTGCCACACTTTGTGATGTTTGTAGGGCTGTTGTATGTGTGGGTGGTCTAATAATTACATGGACGTAAATGCTACTTGATTGCATTGTGTCAAGAGAACGGCATTGTGCTGCTAACAATGACACGTGGCATGCTCTACAAGTACGTTCAATGACGTTTTTAACTCCACAAATCCCATCTTTTTAGGGCTAAACTACTTCTTCCCAAAATAATGGATAGTTTCAGAAACAATTCAAATAGATATATTCATATTGAAAGCATTAAGATTTCGTAATGTTTTTAAAATAAGTCTCCTATTCTCACCAAGGCTGCATTTATTTGATCAATAATGCAGGAAAAACAGAAAAACTGTGAAATATTATTACAAATTAAAAGAACTGTTTTCTATTTTAATATATTCTATATTTAATATATTCCTGTGATGGCAAAGCTGAATTTTCAGCAGTCTTTGGTGTCACATGATCCTTCAGAAATCATTCTAGTATGCTGATTTGTTGATCAAGGGTCAAAGTTTGAACGTTAGTGTATGGATAAAAAGTTCTTCAAAATATCTCAATTTTTGATCCACCAAGTCATACAGGTTTGGATCAGAATTTTCAAATTTGAATGAACTAACATTCCAAATATCCAAAAGCCAGGCTTTGCTACACTATCTGCTGTAGTCCAACAACCTGTTTAAAATAAACCATCCATTGAAGTAGACTCACCCAGGAGAGCTTGCACAAGAGGCCTGGAAAACTTGCTCCCTCAAGAGCGGTAGAAAATAAGAGAGTGAGCGGCCAGTTCACCTGTCCTGTATTTATATAGGAGCCTTGTCACAAGGGCTTCAGAACCTCAAGCCTTTTTAGGACACATTATAACCCTGCATCACTCAAAGGTGGGCCGTCCCATGTGAAGATGGAGTATTGGAACGGGTCTCACAATGCAGCCTGTCCACTGACAGTTGCATTTAATATTAGAAGATAATTTATGGCTCTCGAGCACAGTGTGGACTATTGTTGGAAAGAGAGGTGGCCAATTCACTGGGAGAGAATGGCATCCCTGGGGCCGTTATAAATAAGACGCCGAGCATTGGTCATAATGGACGAATGACCATTTGTCTGTTGTCTGTTATCTGTCAGTTGTGAGGAACTTCTGGCTCCTTCAAAGGAAATGCACATTGCCGCCCCATATGGGTGTGGACTTTACAACCAAAGCCTACCAAAAGAGGAATGATTTTCAGCGTCTCTTCCCAAAAGAAAATCACGGCCTCTAGGAAATTGACAATGTGCCACACTTTGTGATGTTTGTAGGGCTGTTGTATGTGTGGGTGGTCTAATAATTACATGGACGTAAATGCTACTTGATTGCATTGTGTCAAGAGAACGGCATTGTGCTGCTAACAATGACACGTGGCACGAAGTACGTTTAATTACTTTTTATCTCCACAAATCCCATATTTTACATTGTGAGAACTCTTAGACATGTTTGATACCCTATTATCTAACATACAATTACTGTAGCATAAAAAAGAACTAGTTTTAACAACATCAAATAGTGATGTCTTGACCTTCTCAGCTGTTTCTAACAATTCCTAGCATGCAAAAACATAATTTAAGTTTTAATTAATGGCAAAAATGTCTTTCAGTTATAAACTTATTTGAATGACCAATAATATATTACATAAAATAAGCTAAATATATTACATTTAATGGATTTTATGCAATGCAACCGTTACACAGTGTTGTTATTGTTAAAAATAAAAGTTTTGATTATTATTATACTATTATTAGTTTTAATATTTGAAATACAGACAAAATAAAATAAAATATAAGATAAAAACTTAAACTTGAGTTATAAATGAGAAATGAAATAAGTAAATGAAATAAATTGAAGTACTAAAATTACTAAAACAATTACTTAATTGAAAATATATTAAGAAACAAACTAAAGAAAATGACAAAAGCACAACATAACTACTCAAATTTAAAACTGAAAACAAAAATATATGCTAATTCAAAATATGAATAAATATTATAATAGTACACAAATAATACTGCTGTGTTAAAATTGTGACACCCAACAACTAACATTATTTGGTGGGACGACAAATAAATACTGTAATTTCATTCCATTTTCTCAATATTTCTGTTGACTAGCCTTCAATATATGTCTATTGTACACTACAAACCAACATTGTGTCCCAAATTTGCAAGCTCCTATTGAGTAACAGCAAATTTAGGTAAAATTTTATATAAAGCTAAAAATATTGTAACATAGCTTTCCCTTTTTCAAGCATATATTTGGTATGTGTGTATGTAAGTACAGTATGTATGTACTTACATACAATACATACATATACAAAAAAAAACTCTTTTAAAAGTTTCAGGCCCTGTTTTGTAACCAAGTCTGGGATAGTGCTACATAATAAATATCTGTCTTATGCCAAAATGGCTTTTACACAAGGTTATAACAATAACACAGTAACTGGATTACTTGTATTGAGTCTTAAAGGCACAATATGTAAGATTTTTTTATAAAAATATCCAAAAACCACTAGAAAAGTGTTATATATTTTGCTGACTTGTGTACTTACATTGTCCCAAATGTTTCGAAGAATGTTTAAATCCAGAGAAATAAGCAATTTTAACTAGTGACACGGAGCGTGTCCAGTGTCATTGTGTCGCCTGCTAATGACGTCATAACCCCTCGATTTCCAGTTTTGTTTTGTAGAAAACATGGAAACACCAAAGACGCTTTAATATGTTGTGCGTTTTAATAGACCGGTGACGACCGCACAGAGTAGCATAATAACAGAACTTTCAAATGTATCTAGTATGATAAAACAGCGCTGCTTTTTTTCCCCCACATACGCACGATCGGAAGGAACGGAAGCGGTTGACTGTGGCATAATAAAAGCTCTGCTGCTTTCCAGCCATGTGTCGCGCTCGTTCAGCGGCCTCGTTTCGCTTCGACGGCTTTCAGCCTCACCCTGCTTCATCCTATTACGTTAATAAATCATTAGCTCATCCATGAACATGATTTCTGCCGAGTCCCATCGGATTGCATCGGCTGTGGGGATGAAGACGACAACTCCCATGATTCCACACTCAGTCACAGCGTCATCAAACTACGCCTTTGTCTATTTGTTTATTTTGAATACGTGCCCTCCAGCGGCGAAAATTACATATTGTGTGTGCCTTTAAGGTCAAATGTTAGTCAAAATTTAAATTTTCAAGGGCAGCTGGCCATTTGCATTCTTCAGCTCACACAGAGATAATCCACAATCTCCCTCGTTTGACTCTCCAGAGGCCTAAATTTTGGCAACGTGTCAGTTGGAGGCCACCCAGTAACGTACAATAGCGACGGCCTGCCACCTGGCCTTACATTCTGTTAATGACACACTGACAGACCCACCAGTATTGACTGTAGATGGTAAAAGAGCTACTCTCTCTCTCACACACTTGCGCGCGTGCCCGCGCACACACACATTTGCTCATGTTGTTTTTATCACTGATACCATTTTCTCTTATTTCAGGTTAAACAGTTATGCTGTGTCGATAGCATCAATGGCATGCCAATGAAATCACAGAAACCCACAATGCTTGCCTCATAGACTTCCATTGTAAGTTCACTACAGTAAATGCATTTTCGGTTTGTTTTACTCACTGCACATACTGACAGTAAAGCTACACTTGTAACCTGAAATATTCATTTACATACTGACTGGAGCTTATGATTATGATGATGAGCTTATGAGAGAGAGAGCGAGAGAGAGAGAGGTATGTAGGTACACTGTAAAAAAAATTCTCAATATGGGGTGCTGTGTGTACATTAATGAGGAAAAAAAAATAACTTAAATGGTTTTAGCAAATGGCTGCAATATAACAAAGAGTGAAAAACTGAATGGGGTCTGAATACTTTCCGTACCCACTGTATAGTAAGAATAGCAGTATGCTACTCTACACATAGTAACTGTATACGTAAACTCTGACTGTTATGTAGTTCTTCTGTTTTCCATAGTCCAAATGGCCCTGAAGGGACAACAGTAGACTGCGAGAATGTTTGTACATGTGTGTGTAGCCAAACAAATGCACAAGCATACCAACAAGATAAATATAAAGACCCTTGCTGCAGGATTTCATGCCATATTTAACAGTAAAAAAATATGACTGCTGCTGATAAAACTGCTGTGTGTTCCCAAACGATTGACACTTTACATTAGAGCCGTCATACCATTCTGTCATCACATTAGAGCAACAGCCTCCCCAGCAACAGTGACACATACTGTACACACTCACACACACATATATGGTTACAATAAAAAGGTTATGTCAATCCTAGCTAACTTTTGAGGGCAAATTTGACCCCAAAGTAAAGCCACACACTTGTGTTCATGCATACAGGATCAGCTCCTGCCAGGGTTTCTCTAGTGAATAAAAACAAACATGGATTTATAGTGGTTCCACATTGAAGCGCTTCTGTCTCTGGTGGTTGGATCATGTGACCTCAGTCCTCTGCTCTTCTGCTGCTACTGCCTTTGTCTCA